ACCATCGTGATGAATCGATACCATTGATCCTGAGACTCTGCGAAAAGTGATGAGAGATAACTTCCGTTACTAAAGACCAACCAGACGACCTGAAATTTATGCCTGTCTCCATAGATATCGCATAGAGCCACCACTTGTTAAACTGAAAACTTTCAAGAAACTTGCCATCTTCAACGGTCCATGGTTGGGCAATTAGTGCTACAACCAAGGCATATCTTTCCATTTCTTGTGTCAGACTCGAATCTATGATGGCAATGTTCTCGATGCGTTTGAAAGCGAAATGAGAATGTTATAATTTGGTCCAGGCTATGTAACATTACGTTTGGATGCGTTCCATTTTTGATCGCGAAAGACATGTTCTCGAATACATGGTGCATCCTGTATACACATTGTGTGTCAATGAATGCAGAGTTCTAAATGTAATTTTGTCAGTGTACAACGTGCACAATACACAATGATATAGTAAAGATTAATCTTTGCCCTAAGGGAAATTTTTGGCAAAGATTTCTCACAAAGAAAAACAAATTAGATTGTGTGTGTTATATATTTATACCAATATTCACACGCAAACACACACATACACACCTACACATACACACACATACACACACATATATGTGTGTGTGATGACACAGTTGCGTACATACCATATATAACTATAAACATACATCGCTATATGTACGTTTAAGCATGAATATATGTGTGTGTGTGTGTGTGTGTGTGCGTCTGCGTGTGTGTGAGTACAGAGATATAAATACACATACTGTCATCTATATTAGATACGTATATTGATATATATATTAATATATTGATATATATATATATATTGATATATATATAAAAATAGATTGATATAAATAGACTGATACACACACAGACACACACACACATATATATATATATATATATATATATATATATATATATATATATATACACCTCGTTTTAAAATACTTATTTAACTATAATTTTATGAAAGGAAAGGGTTTAGCATGTGATTTTATTTAAAATTCGATATGGGAACCGGATTTCGTAATTATATAAGGGGCGGATACAGTTATATATATATATATATATATATATATATATATATATATATGGGTTTATTAAGTGCTGATTGCAGATTCTCCTCCTTTTTTCTTCAAATTAGAGAGACAGACAAAAAACGAACAAATATTGTCAGTTTCACATACTGATATAATTAAATTAAGATAGATAGATAGATAGATAGATAGATAGATAGATAGATAGATAGATAGATAGAAAAAGGAGACAATACTGATATGAGTAGACGAACAGATATATCATAGTGTTTTTTATGCCTGCCAATCTACTAGTTATTTTAGTTAAATTTTTCCCTGAATCTACTCTTCTAGATCTTTTTGTCATAATGCAGGTGTATCCGAACCCTTTATCCATGGACCTTCTCTGTTCTTTATTTTCATCAACTCTCAACTTGATATATATGCTTATGACACAACTATTTACTCCTGTTTCGATATTAAGTCTGATCAGTTTGATAGTCAAATTGGCAGCTGATCTCAAAAATGACCCACAATCTGTTTCTCACTGGAGTAAGGAATGGCTTGTTAAAACAAAACAAAACAAAAAACATTTTTTTTCTCTATTAGTCACCTGAAAGATCCCATCTTGCCACTAAACAACATGGCTGATACAAACATCCATGAGAGCGACTCGTTGCGCCCTCTCGTGCTAACATTTGCCGTTGACATGAGGTAGAAAGTCTATATTGAATCCATTTCTAGGTTTACTGCTAAGAATGTTGGTTTACTGTTAGGATAATTGTTCGGATTAACTCTTTGCTATGGTACCTAGACTTTATTTCGGGGATGAGAAGTCATCATCATTTACATTATTTATAGCCCAACTAATGGTTTTAGTATCATAGAGAATTTTTCTTTCCAGAATCTATCTTAGATATTCATAAAACTACCATTTTGAATATTTCTGTTCCGACTGTATATTTAGAGATTCTTGATTAATTATTGGTCCTGACCTGACGACTCGGCTTCAGTCACTTTCCAACAGCTGTATGGTTGCCTTCCTCTGCCTTTTCTATAAATACTTTCATGATAATTGTTCGGATTAACTCTTTGCTATGATACCTATACTTTATGAAATTAAACGCAGTACTAGATTGGCAGGAAGGTCTCATCAATTCACAGTTCAATTGGCTATATGTAACTGTAAGTTATATACTAATATTATCTTTACTCGCATTTCACGCCTGTGGAACTCCCTTCATTCTAGCCAACTTTGATCGATCTTTAAAAATTTAAATGCTATGTCGATCGTTATCTTCTGCCTTCTTGATTACTGTCATTTGAGCTTTACAAGTATATAAAACCAAGCAAACAACAGCTAGGTAAATGCGAAGGAGTTAGAGTAACATAAATTGTACCTCTATCAAAGGCAAGAGTTAGTGTTTGATGGGATTGAATGGACGTGCTCAACTTTGAGTGGTTACCGACAACTTAAAGTGGAGACGTGTATTTTCAGCAGTTATAACTTTTAATTACTATTTTGTGGGGAGAGAAGCACATTTGTATCAATCGCAAAAGTGTGGCTTTTCACAATGATATTCCCTGGCGTCATACAGCAAAGAACATATCTGAAAAGATTTTTTAAATTCTTTATCCCCCCAGATTTGAACTTATCTGAATAACGTCTCTCCTGGGACCAGAATTTATTTGATAAACAAGTTCTTAAAACACAATTAAAGGAATTTAGGGATTATGACCGATCCTACATCATTTCATGTGTGTGTGTTACGTATACATATATATCTAAGTGAGGGAAACAAATTGTCACTTGCCATTTCAAGCCGAGCACTTCACCATGTCCCATACCAGATAGAAACTATTGTTGTGTTTGCTTCCATTTTTATTGAAGGGCAAACATTGCTGATGAACCGGAAGTTATCCGGGAGTGGACTATATATTGCTAAGAAGAGTCACAATGTGTGGTTGGAGTGATGGAGAAAATTGTAGCTAACGGAAGGTACACGATCCGATACCCGATCGGTATCGGCTGGGTCACCGCGGAGAGAAGATATTATGTTGAAAAACCCGAAACCCCTAATGAACTTTGGCTAGAAACACCACTGATGATTTTTATCAAAGCGTCCAGTAGATGTATTTTACAAAATGTAAAATATAAACGTGGCTTTTCTGTTTGCATTTCGGGGATGAGAAGTCATCATTTACATTATTTATAGCCCGGCTAATGTCCTTGCCTTTGGTTTTAGTATCATAAAGTTTCAATCGTTGCGTTCTTTTCTTCAAGTGTATCTCGATCTTGGTAACCTTCAGAGAAATAAACCCTTTATTTAATCTACGGAAGCAATTTTTCTCTTTCCATGTCCCTTGGTTAACCTCGGCCGAATAGTAAAGACTCGGACTCTATGGCAACTAATGAAAAGTGAGCAGAACCAAAACAGAACAAGACAGGACATCCCTAGACATGGACAGTAGATAAAATAAATAGGTCTGTTTGAAATTCCATGAAGGTTCCCAGAATCACCTGACACCTGAAAAAGACTGGAAGGCATAATAGTCGAAACATTGTGATAATAGCAATTTGGGACATTATTCCTGCTGTAAATTAACATGACTTTTTTTAATATTTTTCTGATCCTAAATTCGAACTAATAGGATGATAAATGCTTTGGAAGGGAGAGAGGCGGGGAGAAAGAGAGGCGGGAAGAAAGAGAGGTGGGGAGAAAGAGAGGCAGGAAGAAAGAGAGGCGGGGAGAAAGGGAGGCGGGAAGAAAGAGAGGGGGGGAGAAAGAGAGGGGGGAAAGAAGGCAGGAAGAAAGAGAGGGAAAGAAAGAGAGGCGGGGAGAAAGAGAGGCGGGAAGAAAGAGAGGCGGGGAGAAAGAGAGGCGGGAAGAGAGAGGGAGAAAGAGGGAAGAAAAGAGAGGCAGGAAGAAAGAGAGGCGGGAGAAAGAGAGGCGGGGAGAAAGAGAGGCGGGGAGAAAGAGAGGTGGGAAGAAAGAGAGGCGGGAGAAAGAGAGGCGGGGAGAAAGAGAGGCGGGGAGAAAGAGAGGCGGAAAGAGAGGCAGGGAGAAAGAGAGGCGGGAGAAAGAGAGGCGGGAAGAAAGAGAGGCGGGAAGAAAGAGAGGCGGGTAGAAAGAGAGGCGGGGAGAAAGAGAGGCGGGAAGAAAGAGAGGCGGGGAGAAAGAGAGGCGGGAAGAAAGAGAGGCGGGGAGAAAGAGAGGCGGGGAGAAAGAGTAATGGTAATGTGGAGTTGTCAGTCTCACACTCAAATGGTTTTGAATTCAGCTATCCTTTTCTGAGGCTAGAGAGAATTGTCTACCGGGGAAAAATGAAAAAAGACTTTTCAATTTCTTCTTTGTTTCTAAATTTGGTGAATATGAATGTTGTGGAAAAATCTCCCACTTTATTTTTTTCTTAGGTTTGTTTTGTACATTTTGACCTTGACATATCATGCTGGAGAGTAACACCTTTTCTATTTGCCAGAACACTTTCAGTGTAATGTTTTGTTTGCCCAATCAAGTTGCTGGCAATAAACATCTGCAGTGATGATCCCGCCGTGATCCAATGGATCACACTTCTCCATATACCGCCAGAAACAAAGCAAGGACTTTTGAGGATGGAGTTGTCATTGACTTCTCATTTTGTGATAATAATTGTCTATTTTACTTCCTGTTGACATGCAAAACACATTTTTCATCACCTTGTAACAATAAAAGAATACTACAGATAGTTGAACACTGTGTTTGATTTTCAAGTGAAAGTTCATGAGGGATACAGCTTCCCTCCTTGCAAGTTTACTCAAACTCTGAAATAAATGATAGAAGATGTCGGATAGAAGAAATGCTAAACTAATTCCAAATGCAGTTTCATATCATTCACCATTTGTTCTACCTTGTTCGATTGACTCATAATTCATCGCATTTAAATACTTAACTATTTTCGAACACCCAGATAGAAAGCATTCTTAATTAATTAGAGGGTTTACGGCCATACCCCGTTGAAACAGCGGTTCTCGTACGATCAACGAAGTTAAATAAAATCAGTAAATCCTGGTCAGTATCTAGATGGGTGACCTCTTGGGAATATCAGGTGCTGTAAGCTTGGATGTGTGGGTGATGTAATAGATAATGTCTCGGAATTGAAAATCGGAGAGCCGAGTTCCAATTCCAATCGGGTTCGTTATATTCACTTACGCGCAAGCACCTGCTTACGGCAGCTATTATTCCCAAGTCGATACCCATCTAGGTACTGACCAGGATCGACGTTGCTTAACTTCGGTGATCGTAAGGGAGCCGTTGTTTCAATGTAATATGGCCGTAAGCCTGTCTTACGGAAGATATGAGCTGAAGCTACGCGACTCTTTTGTGAATGATCAACTGGTTCCTCATGTCTGTGGTCGGTACGTAATTTCTGTGTATATACGAGATAAAAACATCTATTTTATTCGTCTTTGTTTATTCATTTTCCCTGCAGATTAATTTTTCGCAAGTCTGTTTTCAGAGATTCTTTCAAATCGAATCAACCCAGCCGATATTGAACTGGCAGAAATAATTGAATGTGTGAGGATAACTTTGAATTAAATTCATATGAAGTCAGCAAGAGACATTCAAGTTAGAGAGTAAGTATTACTGGAGTTTGGTAAAGGGTATGTTCTTTAGAGCCATACACAATATTTCAGACACACCGTGCTCGCGCGAACGCGTGTGCGTGTCTTCGTGTGTAAAATATAAACCGATATAGATTCTATCATTCTAACTAATACATGTTACATGGCTCGCCACAAATTTCTATCTTTTGAGGCTCTAAGTATCTTAAGACAATTTTTTTAAAAATCAGTTCACCCCCAAGTAAGGCAATAAAGCCACTAAGACGCAGGAGGCTACTGAGTGTTAGAGAATATAAGAAAAAAAACACTATTAAGGATAGAGAACAACTAAGGAAATTAAATTAAGAAGACATAACGATGGGCATTGAATTTAAATGCTTGAAGGTAAAAGTTGATTGGGAAGCAAGAAGGCAGAAGAGTGTTTTACAAGCGAGAAGTGATATTTAGCTCCCCCCCCCACGAGGGTTACATGTGGCACAAGGCCGGGTTTAACGTGGGATCTCCGAACCCGTAGACTCGGCCAAAAATATTCCCTCTTTGAACCCGTATAAACGAGTTCAGAGGCAGTCAATCACCCCGAACGAGACTCTGCCCTTCAGCGGAGCCTTGTCCGGGTTCCTCTCCGCCCGAAGAGAGAGTTAGACTGTTAGCCAAGTTAGTCAAGCGAGAAGTGCCACAGTTAGTACAGAACTTACGGTTACATACAGCCATTTCCCGTGTAAAAATGTGACCCTGCCGCCAGTCTAGTAATAGTACGGCGCTTAAGTCAATGAAGTTTAGGATCAAAGAGGAAAGTTCATCAGACCAATTACAGAAATACATAAGGAAGCTACGTTACGCCGGTGGGAAGTAACTAATGCCAAGATGCCAGGTCAGTACCAATAATATTTCAAATTTTTCTTTGGATTTTATCAAGAATCTCTAAATATATAGCAGGAGCACCAAACCAACAGATATCTGGAAAGTCGTGGATGAATATTAAGAATAAAGTGTGTCAAAGGATAAAGTCCTGGGGGACACCTGCATTAATGCAATAAGATTTAGAAGAGTGGCCATTCAAGATAACTTTCATGACTCTCCACACATTCCTTTCTTTTATTGTCCGTGAAGCTATAATATCTTGACAAAAATAGTGAAGTGATTTTCGATTGTTTTCTCTATCATTTTGAACTCAAAGTAAAAATTATCTTAGACTGGCTACCACTGAAATCTCACAAATGCATTAGTGTGAAAGTGAACACAACAAACTAGGCTGAAGTTTGAACTCAACTCTCTAATTCCACTTTCGCGCCGATAATTGTTACGTTAGTCTCATATATTATGTAATAGACTACTTAATGAAAATGGTAGATGATTGGAGTGTCCTTCGCACAGTTTTTTTGACAGATTAAAATTATAATTCTGTCCATGTACTTAAGTCGTTCACGTTAAAAGCCATGCCAGCTAAAAGAATAGAAAACTGTACCCAGCTCTCTATTATTTGCGAAATTAATCCATTGTAATACATCGTTTACAGACCTTAGGAAATATTTTAAATCTATAGAAATGGGATTCTCATGAACTTGAAGAATCGATCATTTATTCTTCATCGGAGAAAAATATTATTTGGGGGCAAATTTCCATTTGATGATGGAAACTAGATTTATTACGCGGATTCAAAATGAAGACAACCATCACTTGCTCCAATCTAGTTTTCATTATCTAAAATCTAATTATCTGTGTTTGTTGGGATTTAAATGGAATTAATTATGATTTACTAGAATTATAATGACAGCGGGGGCACGTGCTGAAACATTAGCGATGAATTCAACAGTTCTTTTCAGTGGTGCATTGAAACAAAACAAAACAAAACACCATTCAAAAGAATGGTGTTTTTGTTTTGTTTTTGTTTTATTTTGTTTCAACAAAATCGAATGGTCATTTTATTTTGTAACACGACCTTCATATTGATTTTGTTTTGTAACACAGGCCTTCATCATGATTTTATTTTGTAACACAGGCCTTCATCACGATTTTATTTTGTAACATCGGCCTCCAATCTTGTTCTTATTGTAAGACATCGACCTTCGTCTTGTTCTTAAGAGATCGACCTTCGTCTTGATATTTTGCGACATCAGTTTCTGTCTCGATTTTATTTTTTAACATCGGTGGTCGTCTAGATTTTTTTTTTTTTTTTTGAAAGCAGCGGTTATCCAAATTTTAGTTTGTGACATCGGCTTTCGTTTTGATTTGATTTTGTCACATCAGCGTCTGCCTTTATTTTATTTTGTGAGATCAGCCTTTGTCTTGATTTTCTTTTTTTGACTTCGGCTTTCGCCTAGAATTCATTTGGTGAGATCAGGTATCTTCTGGATGCAAATGCAACTTTTAAAATTTTGATGCAGCTGGCATGAAAAGTTCTTCTACAACTCACCATATTAGACACTTTCACTCTTCCACTTTTATTCCTCCGTTCAACAAATTACTTTCTCGCTGGCGGTTTCAACAATTTTAAGATTGCGAACATTTCTTTGAATTCTTGAATCAAAAGCGAAATCATTTTTTATAATCACATGCATTAAAAGTGGAAAGTGTCGTCGAATTGTGGAAAGAGAAGGAAAATACTTCGATGATAATAATAATTCTATGAATTTATCTGAAAGTGTTTGTCGATATATACTAGAAACATGTGTATGAATAGATTACGGTGTTTGAAGCTCTTTAAGAATAAAAAAAGTAACCAAATTGTTTTCCTGATATTTGTTTTTTATTTATTTGTTATCTTTTTATCCCTATATATATGCGTACACAACACAACAAAGAGAATAGACTATTGATAAATAAAGAAATTATTTTTTCAAAGGCATCACCTTCTTTGTCAACACACTTAATTCAGTAGTGAATATTAAGCGAGTAGTTTTGCGTACCAAATATTAGTACCGGCACGATTAAATTATTCCCTTCAATTCCGATCCCTTCCTTCGACATAGAGCTTATTTGTTAGAAACCATTTATTATTTTTCAAATCGCAGCGCAATTATTTTGTTTTAGGCTTAATATAAATTAGATAACATTTTCTGGCGAAACGTTTATTTGAACCGGTATGCTTATTTTATAAGTTGAAAACTTCTCACTGTAAAGACAATTATTAAGGCCAGTTATATTTGATACAAAAAAGGAGATCCAACAACATACAATGAAAATTTCAGATCAAAACTAATAAGTAGGTATCAGGTTTCATTTATGGACACTAGTGCTAATGTGTACAAGCAATATCTATCTATCTATCTTATCTAATCTAATCTATTCTATTCTATTCTATTCTATCTATCTATCTATCTATCTATCTATCTATAACAACACAAAATTGGAAATCGGAAAGCAGAGTTCCAATTCCATTCGGGTTTGCTATATTCACCTCCACGTAGATACCTTTGGGAAAGGTACGAATCCATCACTTCTCCCCCCAACCCAGCTGTGGGTTAATTACTAAAAATTGTATCAGTATATTATTATCATCGTCAAAAAAGTTGCGTGCCTTTTTGAAAAATAATAATAAGATCTTTCTCTTCCGGAAGTGTTTTATCATATATTCAGTAATAATAATAATAATAATAATAATAATAATAATGAAATTAACCCAATGCAGCGTAAATATCCTCACGTGAACAAAGACATGTTTTTAGGAAATAGATTATGTCGGATTTAATCCATTTCTTAAAAAATCTCTTTGCTTACGTTAGGATATTTATGCTGCATTGGGTTAATTTCATTATTATTATTATATGAAACAGAGCAGATAAGTATATTTCAAGAATTGGGAAAGATATGTGTTCAAAAGCACTATTCTGGCTTTGTTTGACTATATATATATATATATATATATATATATATATATATATATATATATATATATAGATAGATAGATGATAGATCTGAAGTCTAAAAATATCGGGACTGTTGCTATTGCAAAGTGAGCTAAAGTACGCAAGTGAAACTGCTCGGCATAAATTGGTCTTGAAGTCTGTCGCGCATGTTATAACGTTCTCGCTCACTTCCATTCTTTATAGTAGTGTTTGGAAGGAAAATGTGTAGAGTGTGTGCGTCTCACCACACCACAGAAGTTCCATCCCAGCTCAGCGGGCATAGGATCTATGTTGTTTGAAGTAAACAAATGGCTCATGGAAGTTTCACTGCTACGTAGCACAAAAAATAAAGTTGCTCAGAAGTGTGTTAAATGCGATGCTGGTGTGTCACATTTTTTAAGAAAATTAGCGAAATGTGAGTGGGGTAAAAAAAAATGTAAAGGGAAAAAAATTACAAATTTAAAATTAAATCCGTTGTATTCGCGTAGTCAGTAAACTGTTACTGGTCCAAAGGAGGTAAAAAATGACTGGAAGTGAAAAATAGAAAAAAAAAAGGTCGTTTTTGTCGATTTGTTATAGTATCGTAAACAGTTTGGGGTGGAGTCTCGCACCTATATCCTCATAAAATAAGGGCGTGGTGAGGGATTGGAATTAGTCAGGTTTTCAATATTTTGAGATATATGGTTTTTATGCCTACATGCAATCATTAACTCACTCCGTTTATTAATTAGGCCTGGCGTGTTTCCGTTTTTGAGAATAAATCTTTTCTCTAATAAACATGTATCATCCCCCTCCTTTACCGGAAAAGGTTTGGTTTGTGCTATGAATTCCCATTTGAAATTAGGTGTGTAGTCATTTGTTTTAATAAT